CCTGTTTTTTTTTTTAACAATTTTTTTTTTTTTTTTTTTTTTCTTTTTTTTTTTTTTTTTTTAATGTGACCAGAGAGAGACAGAGGGTGAGAGTAAGAGAGAGGAAGTGAGAAAGCAAGCCATGAGATTCAGGACTTGAACCCTGGTCGGCCATGTGGGAGTGTGCAGCGCCTTAACCACCACGCCACCTGCTGGTCCCCAGTATCACGTGAGTTCTTACAGGAAAATGTCTCTAAATCACTTGGCAGTTAAGCTGGTTCTGGCTGATGACAAAGATACTTGACCACTGAAATAGTAACGGGCAGAGCAGAAGGGCGCTCAGGGACCTCAGGAAAGCCCGCAACTGAAGGAAGAGATCAGGCCTCCTCCGGGTTTTAATTATGCAGGGCAAATCTTACTCTTTGCATCGGACGCTTTTCTCTTCAAAGACTTTCAACATTGAAAACTAAAATCAATAAGGCAATTATTTCCGGATTTCTCATGTAATCCAGCAGCTTTCCTGGACAAAGGGGTCATCTTAACTGAAGATGAGAGAGCTGGAGGGTCTCAGTGGTCATCCCCACATAAATCAGTGACAGTCTCTGTCCTGGTTTCCAGCACCACCCCACGGTGCGCACCTTACCTGGTAGAGCCACTTCCACTGGAACGGAACGGCAAATTTAAGGAGGAACGCAATGATCCTGGTGAAGTATATGTAACATACGATCTACACGAAGAGGAAAGAAATGAGGAACACAATCAACAGAAATCAGGGCACCACCTCCTCTCAACACTCTGTCCCACGAATTAACTATGAAATGAACTACACAGAGGACGGCATTTGATACATACAGGGCTAATTAATAAATGCAGCAGAGTGAGGCTACTCCTCTAGTTGCACTTAAAAGGACATCTCCACTACCACTGGGTGGTCGGGACACGGACCAGTCACGCTTGGGAAGGACAAGATGTTTAATACGGCTAATCTGTACTCAGCACTCCTTACCTTGCTCATGTACATAACCCACGGACTGCAGTCTCTGAAGGGGGATGTCTATTACTACCAGGCATTGAGGAATATTTAGCAAACCACACAAGGAAAACACTGACTTCTAGTTTCCTCACCAGTAGATGCTACCGCCACGGAGGCCTGCCCTTGGAAGAGGTGTGAACGCCACTAAGCACTTCAGCCAGGGAGAGTCTGTTTCTCCTCGCTGGGGGCTGAACCCAGCATGCCGGCCCCTTGAGCACGGCCTATGTGTTGTGAGCAAACTCAGGGTGGCCAGGCCTGCGGGCCAAGCGGACACACCTGGCTTTAGGTGAAAGCCAACCCCTTGACCTGGTCGTGGGCACACACCTCACTGCCACCACGGCATGAGAGCAGCTGTATGTGAGGCCTGCTGCTTGGGTGGAGGGTGCAGAGCCCACGCCGACACTTCCACCCTGAGAAGACTGATGCCCTGCTGTGTCCTGCTGGACTCTAGTGTCTCCCCAGGCACGAGAGCCGTCAGAATGACGACCAGTGCCATCACCACGGGTGGACAGGGAAGGCGGGGGCAGGGGCGGGGGAGGACTCGGGAATGTATCTTTTCAGAATCGAGGGGTCTAGCTGGCGGTAAGGTGGTCAAGGTGGCTGGATCCCACATGGCCAAATGCGCAGCACGAGTTCCGGACCCAGTGCCTTGAGAAACACGCTAGGTGCATGTGTGTGTGTGCCCAGATCCCAAAAGGAAGGAGAAGGGACTGCAGCATGACCATGCCCCATGAGGGGTGCTTTTCCACGTTTTCTTTCCCTCTCTCTCTCCAGCAAGCACATGCGCCCTTGGGCAAAATTTAAACACACAAACAGAAAAATGTTCAAGAAGCAAACCCTAGGAGACCTGTACCGTATATACTCCAAGAAATCAGATCCTAACCATTTGTTTTTCATACCCACCATGGCCCTGCTTTTTGGTACTACACACACCACTTGACCTGCTCTGCTAGGGGAACACTGTCACCATAGCATAGAGAGTTTTCTCAGGGAAGTCAGTCTGAAGCAGGAGGAGGTGATACTCTGACAGTTGTAACTGAGAAGGACAGCATTTGGGTGTGATTCCACTTTTCAAAATGATTAAAAAAAGCAAAGTCAGGGCCAACCGGTGGTGTGGTGGTTAAGGAGGCTGGATCCTACATGGCCAACTGCTTGGTTCAATTCCCAGACTTAGTGGCTTGAAAAACATGCTAGGCACATATGTATGTGTACCCAAAATCCCAAGAGGAGGATGGAGGAGAAAGGACTGTGGCATGGCCATCCCCAGGGGGTGATTTCTCACACCACCCTGGAGGAACCACCACCGAGTTGGGAACAGTAACCACGTGGGTGTGGGTGGGCAGCGGGAGGCGGGGGCCAGCACACTAGGGGCCGCGCTGTGCCTCACAGTCGGAGGCTTTGTTCCTCAATTGAGAGTATACTACTTTTCTAAGTATTTAAAGCCAGATTTAAAATTAAAAATTAGGGGCCGGCAGGGGCAGTGTGGTTAAGGCACTGGACTCCCAAGGCTGACCACAGTCTGAGTCCCAGACCTGGCAGCTTGAAAATCATGCTGGGTGCATGTGCTTATGTGCTCAACATCTCAAGCAGAGAATGGAGAAGGGAATTGCAGTATGGCCTGCTCCACTAGGGGGTGATTTCTCACTTCTTCTCTTTCTTTCTCTCTGTCTCTGCCTCTCCTTGGCGAGTGTACATGCCCTACGGCAAAAAAAAAAAAAAAAAATCCTAAAAAAGTAAGTAAACTAGTCAATTAAATTACATTAAAAAGTAACTCAGACACTGAACCCCCATTTCGAGAGAGACCGTTTCCTAAAGTTGAGCCGGTGCTGCAGGAAGCACTGTGGCCGCACCGCCACCTGTCCCCCGAAGCCTGGCAGCTTTACTCCTTGAACCAGTAAATGACAGGCTGAACTTTGCTTTTACTCACCAGGACGTAATAATGTCTGAAGAGTTTCAGCTTTGCTAAGTTAATAGCAGCTAGGGAGAAGGAAGAGGAATGGAAGGCTCGTTATTTTTTCAGTCTTTAAAGGCAAGTCCCCTGTCCCCCACTACCCCCAGCACCTCAGTTGAGCTGCATCTAACACAGAGGAGCACCACCCAGCGGGCGAGGAGGGAACTGCAGGGCAGGCCTCCCCATCAACAGGGAGGACTGGGAGTTAGGCAGCAGGACTGCTTCAGACTGCCCCAGGAGCCACCTCCCCACCTGGGTGAGCAGTTTTAAAGCAGCCGTGGTGGGTGCTTCTTGGTAACACAAAACTTAAAGATGCTACAAACCTGGACCCCCACCCAGCCACCCTGGGCCCAGGCTCAGTGTGTGGGCTGTCACTGCAGCTCAGAGCTGCACCTTCCAAGAACACTTGTCCCAGGTTGGTCCCAGAGCACCCCCTGGGGGAGGCCCCCACTGGCTGAAGACATAAATTCAATAAACCATTTGGTGCATTTTGCAAGTTTCATTGATGTTTTCATGCGTGCGGGTACTAGCCCTTTAAGTACAACCTGGTTGCCTCTGTCCTTCCTTCCTGAACATTCAAGGTCAGCCAGGACACTAACTTCCTGACTTCGCCTATGGCTATGAAATATTGATGACCACAGGACAGCCCGCTCCCTCCCCAATTAGCAAGCCTTTCATTCACCATAAACTGTTCTGCAGGAGGCAAATTAATTGTGCTTAATAGCATTCAATTACTGACTCAGTTGAGAATGGGACTGTGGTGGTGAGGGTTCAAATTCCTCTTCCTCCTCACTCTGGCTCAGGATCAGTGAGGGAGGCATTTGCTCTAGGAGTCCAAAAGAAATGCCGGAATCCTAAATGACCTTCGGAGATTATGCACTAATAGTACCTGCAAGACCCTCCTGAGAAATGGAATATGTGGATGAGGGAGATTGAGAAGCCCCAAAACATGGACTCTCCGAGCCGAGGAGCCGTAAGGGCCCCCGCACATGCGCAGCACCCAGGAAGGGAACTGGCAGAAGGGCAGGCCACGAGCTGCTCCGAGAGAACTGGTGCACCTGCAGCTGGGTCCCAGTGAAGACATCCCCACGACACGGATGCCAGGCCATCAGGACACCTGTGAGGGCTGACAAAGGGGACCTTGGGAACACCAGAGCTGTCTCTGAAAAATGCAGCCTGTGAACAGAGCTCCAGGTTTCCAAAACCCGCTGGCCAAGACAGATACAACTTTGGGTCACACGCTGGACGTTCATTCAGGAGAATGCTGCTCGTGGGGATCAGGCTGCTGACACCCACACAGGTGTCCGGTCTCAGGCCAGGCAGCGAAGGCCGGGAGCCAGCTCAGTGGGGTGGGACGGGAGAGCAGAGCAGCTTGGTGCAGGCCTGCACATCTGGACTCCCTGGTTCAGGTCCCAACTCCACTGTTCACGGGTTCAAACTCCTGGCCCACCCACGCGAGTCGCCTAACCTCTCTGAGCCTGTTCCTTCACCTGTAAAGCACGAACAGCGTCCACCACTAGGACTAACGCGAGTGCGCGCGAGGCCAACAGCACACAGCGAGCACTCGCTGTCTCGGCAGCGGTATCGTGGAGGACTCTGGAGATTCGCCTGATGCCAGACACGGCACGCCCTGGGCACAGTGGCTGCCATGTCTAGCAGAGTCCGGTCTAGTGGGGGGAGCTGGAAGGAGCGGAGCCTCGGGCGCCCGAGGCAGCGCTGCCATACGTACAGGATGGGTCCTGGTGCCGAGCGGGCAGAGCCAGCTCCGAGGGGACTTCGCCAGCGCCATCGTGGAGCAGCACATGGCAGGTCGCTGCCTGGAATGCTTCTCTGCTAAGGGAGAGCTCTCCACTTGAGAAGGCTGCTCGCTGCACCACGGCGGGGGCGGGGGTGCCGGGCTCCCATGGGAAAGAAGGCTCACCGGGGCTGAAGCAGCTATTTCCGACCTCGCCACAAGGAGCAGCAAATATGGTAAAAGAATGAGCACGTGGTGAGGACGTGCCCAGAGAGGAGCCAGAGCGGAGTGCAGACCCTGCGCCACCCGTGCCTGCCATGCCTCGCACCTGGAGAGTTTCTTCACGGTGGGTTACAACCTCGTCACAGCAATGCTCTTGATGGGCAGGAGCCCAAGAATCACCCAGGAGGCTTTAGCTAAGACAGATGCCCAGGCCCAGCTGTGGTCATGTGCGCTGGACGGTGCTGCTTGGCAGGCTGAGGTCAAATGGGAGATCTGAGTTCAAGTCCTGACCCACCCTGACACGCCAGGCATAGACGCACACACTGCAGTCCTGGCTGCGCAGGACCCGAGGCAGGAGAACCAGGCGCAGCGAGACCCGGTCTACAAGGACACCCCTCCCCGCACACACAGGCACGCCCCACGGGGAGGGCAGCTGCTGGGGCAGGGGTGATGCCATGTCTGCCTGTGCCAGGTGGGCCTCCAGGCTGACCACCAGCCGACTCCCCTGCTTGTTCACTTTCAGGAAAGGGCCACGAGCAAGCGTGTCTCGCTGACCGAGTGGAACACGTGCCCGAGGCAGAAGAGCCACAGCCCGACAAACCTGTCAGTGCTCAGAGAGCCGAGCCAGTGACGCTGCCACCCACGGGGGCTGCTTGTCTGTGCCCAGACGGTCACCCCACCTCTGGAAGTCAGAGTATATGGCCAGGCCAGCGAAGAGACAGGCCATCCCCTTCTCCTTGGCTGACCTCCCTGGATGGTCCTGGAGCCGTGATGAGGACAAAGACAACCACACTGGTCAGCGCCACACACTGACCACCCTGGGCCAGGCCGGGCACCTCTTTCTGCGGCTCACACCAGCTCTCTGGACAAAGGGTGGTGGGACATTTCTCACAGATGAAGCACGCGGGCCTGGAGAAGTGTGGTGAATCCGCACACCGCACGGCGACAAGTGGAGAGCCAGCCCAGGCCCGGCTCTCACTGAGGCCCCGCTCTGAGGTCTTGCTCTGTCGCCTCCACTTTGCTTTGAGAGAATGACAATTCAGAGCTTCAAAATGCACTGGCAGTTCAGGGTGCTGCCGTCAGGATTGGAGATGCCAGGCGATGCCCAGGAGCCCCTGCGGGCCATGCTGGGGAGCTAATGCCATCTGATTTAGGGGACACACAGGAGCAAAGGCCTACGCAGCTACCTGACGGGTGAAAAATTCCCAAATGACCCTTCCCTGGGAGTACAGAGAGCCTCAAGGCTTAAAAACATCCCTGCCCACCTGCCATCCTCTCTCCTGCTCCCGCTCTATGTGCTTCAGAGGGGATTTTGAGTCAGATGCAAAGATTAAAGAAAGGATGACAGCAACCTGGTTGGTTAGAACCATCTGACTCGCTGCGTCTGCATTTCCAGTCTGACACTCTGGCCCCAGCTCACCCTGCACAGGGGTCGAGGCACTCTCCATTCCGGTCATGCAGGCCTTGAGCCAGCTGCCTCCCCCCCACAGCCACATGCTGACCTGGGCGCTCACTGGCTCAAGAGCGTCCGTCCTGGGGAGCAGTCCACCCACAGACAGCACAGAGCGCCCGGGGAGGGCTGCAGGAACCGTGCAGCAGGAGTCTCTGACCTTCAAGCTGCTGAGCGTAAAGTGATCTGAAACACATTTCCTGTGTATGTTTAAAGCAATGACCCAAGACAAGAGACACTGAAGGTCACTGAATTAAACAGAGGCTACGAGCAAAATTGCATCTTAAATGATTTAAAAAACAAAAGAAAGCAGACTGTCCACGGTACAGACTGAATCGCAGGAAAGATGGGCTCCGTAAGACTGCTCTCACGGCCCTGCTCCAGAGCCACACCAAGCTCGGACTCCGCCCGCCGGGCCTCCTGTCTGCCAGCCCGCAGCCTGTGGCCGCGACGTGTGAGCTCTGCCAGTCAGGCACGGCATGAGGCCGCAGCTGAGCGGGGCGGGTGGGCCTCCAGGCTGACCACCAGCCGACTCCCCTGCTTGTTCACTTTCAGGAAAGGGCCACGAGCAAGCGTGTCTCGCTGACCGAGTGGAACACGTGCCCGAGGCAGAAGAGCCACAGCCCGACAAACCTGTCAGTGCTCAGAGAGCCGAGCCAGTGACGCTGCCACCCACGGGGGCTGCTTGTCTGTGCCCAGACGGTCACCCCACCTCTGGAAGTCAGAGTATATGGCCAGGCCAGCGAAGAGACAGGCCATCCCCTTCTCCTTGGCTGACCTCCCTGGATGGTCCTGGAGCCGTGATGAGGACAAAGACAACCACACTGGTCAGCGCCACACACTGACCACCCTGGGCCAGGCCGGGCACCTCTTTCTGCGGCTCACACCAGCTCTCTGGACAAAGGGTGGTGGGACATTTCTCACAGATGAAGCACGCGGGCCTGGAGAAGTGTGGTGAATCCGCACACCGCACGGCGACAAGTGGAGAGCCAGCCCAGGCCCGGCTCTCACTGAGGCCCCGCTCTGAGGTCTTGCTCTGTCGCCTCCACTTTGCTTTGAGAGAATGACAATTCAGAGCTTCAAAATGCACTGGCAGTTCAGGGTGCTGCCGTCAGGATTGGAGATGCCAGGCGATGCCCAGGAGCCCCTGCGGGCCATGCTGGGGAGCTAATGCCATCTGATTTAGGGGACACACAGGAGCAAAGGCCTACGCAGCTACCTGACGGGTGAAAAATTCCCAAATGACCCTTCCCTGGGAGTACAGAGAGCCTCAAGGCTTAAAAACATCCCTGCCCACCTGCCATCCTCTCTCCTGCTCCCGCTCTATGTGCTTCAGAGGGGATTTTGAGTCAGATGCAAAGATTAAAGAAAGGATGACAGCAACCTGGTTGGTTAGAACCATCTGACTCGCTGCGTCTGCATTTCCAGTCTGACACTCTCGCCCCAGCTCACCCTGCACAGGGGTCGAGGCACTCTCCATTCCGGTCATGCAGGCCTTGAGCCAGCTGCCTCCCCCCCACAGCCACATGCTGACCTGGGCGCTCACTGGCTCAAGAGCGTCCGTCCTGGGGAGCAGTCCACCCACAGACAGCACAGAGCGCCCGGGGAGGGCTGCAGGA